GGAGTCCGAAATTGAAGAAATCAGTAAAAAATAYAACGAAGAACTCAGGGTTGAAAGGGTACGGTTGTTGCGCGAAAACGCCCCATTTGTTACCTATTTCCTCCCTTCTTTCGTTCTTCCCTTTCGTGCTTATTGTTATATCTCACACTTTCTTATATGGATATTTTGACTGGTCGTTTCTCAATGTGACGTCATGTTTGTTTCKGCGAACTGCATCATGGTATTGATAAAAGTATCAAAATGGCGGATATTTTTGAAGTTCTATCCGTTGTTGAATATTATTTAGAGAATCACATGTGAATATATCAGACCAGTCAGCAATACATAATGATTGATTGCAAAAAAAAAACTACCCAATATGGCTTGAGAATTGTGTAGTAATTGTACTATGTGCCAATCCCATGAACTGGAAGCCACCTGTTATATTGAAGTTGCTCAACTTTGTCGTATTTACACAGGAATCCCAGCAAAAAGAGTTGGATCAGATTCGCGATGACATGATGACCGTTATCCAGGCAGTGAAGTCGCAGCAGTACGACCTTGACCCTAACACCGAACAACTACAACGAACAGTACGTGAACAAGAGGAGGAAATTMAACGACTAAAAGATGGTGTTAATGGCGTCGTAGATGACGTAAGTAGACCTTTTCTGAAACACAAAATCATGGTGCATTGTGGTCTAGCTTCAGTACAAACAACGCCATATTTTGCCAAATCTAGACCACAATGCAGTGCATAAGTGTATTTCAGAAAACGGGCAATAGGAAGATTGTGAGTTCTATCGTTTTGAAAAAAATGTTATATAATGATGTCAGTATATTAAAATTAATTGACAGCCCAGTAGCCAATCACAAAACGAGTATTTAGTGAGGATGAATAATAATTGATAATAATATTCGATTTGCGTAATTTCTCTGCCTAAGTTTGCTGTTTAGGCAAAAATAATAATTATTATTTTAAACAATTGACTATTTTACTCTAGACCGAGCTCGAAAAACTTAAAGAAGAAAACTGCAAACTTGTTGAAGAAAAAGAAGAAATCGAAAAAAACCTCAAACGACAAGAAGCGGCCACCATGTTTGGTTTGCGTCGAACCGAAGAAATGAGTAATAAAATCTACCAAATGCAAAAAGAAATGGAAGATATCGACCGGAAATACATGAAAGAGATCAACCTGTACAAAGAAGCTTATGAGCGCGAGAAAGAAGTRAAAGCTTCCTCAGGAGAAGAGGAYGTTGACGATTTGAGAGACGAAAACGAAGACCTTCGACTAGAGCTGGAAGAATTGASGTTAAAAATGGAGGAAGATGAAGCACTTCATGAGAATGAATTAAGTATTTATAAAGAAAAACTTGGCGAAGAGAAGTTATTAGATGTTGAGAAACTGACGATGAAAATAAAAGGTCTAGAAGATAGCATTGAAGAGATTAAACTAGAGCATCAGCGAGAAATCGAGGAACTCCAAGAAAGCCACTCGGAAAACGTGAAAAACCTAAACTCAGAGCAYAAAAAAGAAYTGCAAAATYTGAAAAAAGAAACACAAAATTCTTCTTCTATTACGAGAACGAAAAGCTCTCGAGCGGAGGAAGAACATAAAGAAAAAGTTAGAACTTTAGAATTTAAAATTGAAGARCTGGAATCGTTACTCGAGGTGAAGAAACGAAGGCACAAGGAGGAAGTTCGTAGTTTGAAAGAACGACTCGAYGAAGAAATGCAACGACATAGCGAGGACGTGAGRAATTATGAAACTAAACTACGGGAGTGTGATATTACTCGAAGGCCGTCGATCTCATCAGGGCCTGGCGCGAGTGAATATTTCAGAAAGCAGCTTACTGAAGTTCGCTCTGAAAATCGTTCCCTCAAAGACGAACTAGAGACTCTTAAAAGCGAACTTGTGGCATTGCGGTCTTCGAAAGGTGGTAGCTCAACCTCGACGAGATCGAATAGTTCCACGGATAAGCCAACTAGAGGTGAATATCTATGTAGCACAATGATGCAGGGGTGGATCTAGAGGAGACTGGTGGCTACCATCTCCCCCTACCCCTCCCTTCGATAGATTTGATGACCATTCGATGCCACAATCTTTTCATTGAATACACCTTTGGATCCGTCTTTGCAGGTTCTTTATAATATTGGCAAAAAAATGATTAAAAAATATTGATAAGGGTTGATGCAGTGGTTTAAGGCCGATTCACATGACGCGATTTTGACCTGCGACTGTCGTATACGATTTTCCCTACAACATGGATGGTGTGCCACTAGTCGAACGATTTTAATCCTTGGTTTGAAACCGTGGTAGTCAAGTGGTTGCGTCAATCGTAGACAGGTCGTGCGCGTCAATCGTAGGCAAGTTGTGCGCGTCAATCGTAGGCAAGTCGTGTGCGACAATCGTAAGCAAGTCGTTGCGCTAATCGTAGGCAAGTCATGAGTCGTGTGCGTCAATCAATATAATCATCCTTCATTTTAAAACAAAGGACGAACGAAGGGTTAACGTCCGAAACGTCAGTAAGTTGTTTCACCAATTTGTCACGGTGTTAAATTTATCTTTTTACAAAACCATTTTAAAACAAGCTGATCTTACGATAGTCTCACAGGCATTATAACCGTTGCGCAAAGCAGGGGAGAAAGCGTAGAATGGCACGTAGGCGATTTAGCAAATTTATACTTAATTTTTCCTTTTCATCTACAGATATAAAACGTTTAGCTTCAGAGTCCGATATCAAATCGACACGTAAAGCTTCTTTAGAAAACAAGGAACCACTGAGAAAAACAGTATCGGACGCAAAAACCACGGAAACKTCAAAGAGACCGCCGAGGACAACGACGTCAATACTTGATAAACGTAACGATACAACGGAAAATAAAACCAAAACTTTTACACGGCAGAGTTCTAAGGTAAGCATGCCTTGAATTTATCGTAACATTACGTGGCGTATTTTCTGCTTTAAGTTTGTGTTGTGTTGCGTTTGTCTTTCTTTTTTATTGCGTTTAGGTTGCCTTAGGTTGCTTTACGGTTACAKTACGTTTTTGTTGCCTTTCTTTTGCCTTTGTGTCCAATTGTTTGGTGGCAATCTGTCCGTTGTGTGACCCTTATCTTTTCTTCACTTCTGTTACGTTTACCTCGCACTGCGTTATTTCTTTTCCGTTTCTTATGCGCTTTGTTTCCATCAGTATCTAAATAACGTTGCGACATTTCTTTTRCGCTGAATTAGCGTTGCGCGTATGCAGCGTACACTTTCCCTGTACGTGCTCTCACTGATGCTGTTTGCTTTACCTTTGCGTTCTGTTAATGTGGCTTTTCTTTGCGCTTGCTCTTGCGTTACATGTTTTGCACGTTTAAGCTTTAATTACATTGTATTTCCAGTACATGATTTACTTGCGTAAAAATTGATGCCAACAAAAATCGTTATTAGTGTCTCAACGACTCAGTTTCATTTCAGTCATTATCTTACATTGATTTTCCTTTCGTATCCAGACCGATGTGAAGAAGTCCGTAGCTGAACGAGTGGCCATGTTCCAAACTCCTTGTACGTACMCTTGCGGAATTCATGATACGCTCCACTAAACTCGTACCCAATCGCTTCTCTCACTGTTTAAAGTGGTGCGCAATGCATCAAGGGAATGGCGAGGGGAAAAAAGGAGCGATTGGGTACTAGTCTTCATCAACATCCACAATCAAATTTTGGWCATTTTGTCCATAAAAGCAGCAATAAATTCAGTCTGACATCTCATTATAAAATACAAACACACTAGTTTGTGCTGCATCCAGTCTTTCTAGGCTTACCACCAGAAGTAACAGAAGCTAAATCATCAAAAAAAAATAGTCTAACACAAATGTTTTCAATGGTTTTCAGCAAAAAACGACAAGTCCACGAGGATTAAGTAATTGGAGAGATCGTTTAGGTAATATTACACGAAGTTCAATTTTCCTATCGTTCATATTCCTATTTTTCTAATTTTCTCCAAGAGAACTGGAGACTCTGGTTAACTCTATGGTTGTTGTGGTGGTTGTTGCTGTTGTTGTTGTTGCTGTTGTTGTTGTTGTTGTTATTGCTGTTGTTGTTGTTGTTGCTGCTGCTGTTGTTGTTGTTGTTGTTGTTTTTGATCATGTAGATTATTTTTGTCAAAATGAGTTTTAACAAAAGTGTTTTGTTTCCCCTTCAGGCTTTAAATGAGGCTTTGGTTTACAAGAATTGGAAAGATAGAGAAGCGACAATGCTGTGAAAAGTGCTGCACTGTTTCTCTGAATAGACTGATTACTGAAGGAAGAACGTTGTGTGGATATTGAGAATTTTAAAGCAAGATCACTACTTTTTGACACTAGATGAACAACTTCAACTTGAGGATTGGAAAAATATTAACTAACTACAGTCAAAWTATGAATAAGATAAAGTCATGGAACTTAAGTAATTTATTGCACTACATGAACTATTTTGACCCTTGCTACCATGGCAACTGTCAATCACCTGACTACAAAGAGGTGATAGTGAATTCTTATTGGTTAAAGGTGTTAGTTGGTTAAACATCTCAAATATATGAATGAATGAAAACAAATTATGTTATTGGAATCCTGCAGACATTTTGAAAGGAGAAAAACATGCCTGTTCAAGACTGCAGACTAACAACTACATTGTTATCAGCAAAAACATTTTGAATGAAACTTTTCATCGTAGGTGCACAATGGTCATGAAAAGATGAATTTTATTTGGAAATTATTATTTTTTCCAAATTAATAGTGAAATATTGTTCAAAAAGTGTAAAGGATAAATAGGTATTTTTGTAAATTATAAGGTAGTTATTTTTTGTAGTTATCATATGATCATTTCGATAAAAATTTCTTTATAAAAATTGAAGTACATCATATGCAAAAACTGGCATCAATTGCTGGTAGAAATCAGTGCACAGGAAATAAATATTATTCAAAGTCAGCATTGTATTGCATTCTAAGTGTCTTGTGGCTGAAAATAATACAGAATAATATGCCAAAATGTAGTGYTTGCTGCTACTCAACATTATTGTGCTAGTGTGGCTTTATGAGCAAGGTATATACTTTTAGGCTACCATACAACAGTTGTCAAGCAAGAGAAATGTGGGAACTTGAATGTTGGTTTTGAAGTTTTAATCCCTACAAGGAAGATGTGCAAGTAGCCTCCATAAGCAGATATTTTTTAGTGGTTCGATTCTCTCCCTCACAAACAGGAGAGAATTGAACCACTAAAAATTGTCTGCTTATGGATGCTAATGTGCAAGGGCTTTCAACATTTCGGGTCTAACAAATTAATGCTGTTTAATTATTGCATTTGCAACACTCAGTAGAAACCCAGACAAAAACCTGGGGAAATCCCATGTATTAAAACCCCCTGAAAAAAAACAAAAAAACCTGAGGATTTAAAACTGTTTTAACAGCACCATTCTATTGGGAGGATTAAATCTCAATCAAGGAATTTGATCTGTTGAACAGTCTTTGTTGTCCCTAAGGGACCCATCCCCTTGACCATGTCTTATTGACATGACCCCCAATCTCTTGATTTTATTTGAATATACAATATAGGATAATTTTTTTGCATGCCTCCCTTCTTTTTGTTTGCCTCCCTCCCCCCCCCCAAATAAAAATTAATGGCCCCTAAGAACCAGAGGTGGGAGTTGGTGGGAGTTTTTGCTCATATTCACACCATAAGACAGTTGTGCCAAGAGATGTACACTGACTTCAAYTAAAACAACCTAAGCATCCACACCCTCATTCTTGTGAGTCTACCCACCCCTGAATCTTCTTTCCCTCGTAGAATACAACCTGTAATAAGTAGCAGTTGTTTTTTTAATGCCATATATAAAATAAATTAAATACATGAATGTTCCACCTAAAATTCTAGTTTACAACTTCAACATACATGGAATTATTATCATATCCTTTACAGTGAAATACTTTGAACAATACCAAATAAAATATAATATATCAAAAGCATACATTTATAATTTGTATGTAAATATTAATTCATATGCAAATCAGGGTAAAGGCTAGGGCATAACAGGTCARTTGGTTTTGCTGAATASGCAAGATGGCAGTTGTAGTTCTCACACTTTTTGACCTTTTTTATGTTCACTAACATTCCMCCTAAGACATTTTTGTTTTTTTCTTTTCAAAAATAGAAGTAGCAATGCAGTTTCTATGAAGAAAACAAAAATGGCTTTTAGAGGGGGATTTTCTGGGGCTGTAAAAGTGTGAAGACATATTACTTCCATTAATCTTTGTTGTATAAAAAAATGTTTGTGCACTGTGCGTATTTGATTCGTCTAAATGAAAACCCTAAGACCTCAAGCTTTTAGCACTCTACAGCCCTTGATAAAGTGGTGCTTTTATCTAAAAGAATGAATATTTTATATCTTATGTTGAACAACTTAGTTCTTGTGCCATTAAGYGCTGGCAAAAGTAATAATTTTACATTCAATACATAAGGTTAAGATTAAACTAATTGACAATCAAGTGAGAAGTATATTATATTATATGCCAGGAATTCTATCAAAACAAATGAAGTATTAATATTTATACAGTACTCTTTCAGGAAAAAATGAAGATTTCATTTTTAACTGCATGGTTAACTTATTCAAATGAAGTATTATATAACATCCAGCTAACAGTAACAATACGGTGTTTGTACAGTGTTTTTATAGACATTTGAAATAAGAAATACATCTATAAGAAAGAGTTCGATTGACAATCTTTCTTCCATTGACAATCTTTCTTCCATTGAGACATTGTTTTTCAACAAAATTAAAAATACAACATGGAAATGATGTTTCAATGGAAGCAAGAATAACATCAAAGTGAGTGAATATAACATTAGAGTGCAAGCATTAAGCCTTCAAAATATACCATAGAAATAAATATTGAATGAGAGTTTTAAGTAAATCAAATGTGGGAACTGATTCCCATAGGAAAAAAATAGGAGTACCATAGAATGAAATAACAAAGATAAAAGGTTGTAAGAAAAGAAAGTCCACAAAGGAAGACATAACTAGACAGAATTGTGATGAATGAAGAAGGATGGAGCAATAAGAGGGAAAAATGAATTGAAATAAAAGGAAGGAAAAGAAACCAAACTTTCACTGTTTGGTTCAATACTATCAATATTTCAGATATATGATTTTGTCACTCTGTGTATGTATCCTTAGCAATAATAAAATATTAATAACATTAATAATAATAATAATAATAATCAGTAATTATGTGATGATTCAATTACAAACAGTCTCAATAATCAATAATCATTTTGTATAGTTTGTTATAGCTTCGTTACTCTTGACGTTCTTGTATATTATAAGTCAAAAGCTACCAATGATCTGTTGATGTAGCATACATATTCTGTTGATGATGTGGGTGGTGTGGGGGTTGTGGTTGTGGAGGCGATGAAGTCGCCTGCTTTCTGTTTATCTGTCGTTCAATGAAAAATCTGTCAACGTCAAATATGGCTCCTATAAAAGAAAATAAAAAAAATTATAACCAACTTACAATAACAAAGTGAACAACAATTCATCTTTTTTTTCGGCAAACAGTTTTGTAAAAAGATAAATTTAACACTGCTGTTAAATTTATCTTTTTACAAAACTGTTTCTTTAGAAACACAGACGCAGCTCACACTAGTTTACCGCTAGTTTCCACAATCTTTTTTATAGTTAGTAAATTTAACAAATCGAAATCGCTTTTCTATGGTCTGTACGCTTATCRACAATGAAAATGATGTCAGAAAATGATCAAAACTCAAGTGGAACCAGGAGAGTAGCGTACGATCAACAACGGCTCTCGACCAATCAGCGTACGAGAATTCTACAAGTTATGGTAAAACATGTTCTTTACCTGGTTCAACACTATGGTCTTTGATTCCCCAAAAAGTTACTGAGCCAGGTTCTGTATTTGCTAGAAAATATAGTATTCATTTAGTGGATTTCACAGCCAGTCTTTATTCTAGTTCTTGAATGTTCATAGCCCATGGTTTTCTTCAAGGGGGGGTGCTGGTCATGCGCCCAAGGAGAGGATGCACTCCACAATAATTGTCGCAAATAAAAAGCAAATTATGGAAAAATATAAAAAGGCAGAAGGTCCCACAAGGGTGTGCATACTACAACCACCAATGGATCCACTGCTGGTCTTTATACCTGATATAGCGGCACTTTGTTTGTTATATTGCACGCACAGCAGGAACTTCAAACTTTGGAAAACTGCTTGGCATACAATAATGTGTCTTGTATTGAGATTTTACCAGAAAATTTATGAAGTAATTATAGTAAATGTAGAGAAAAATTGAGGACTTCAAATCTTTACAACTCTTTTCTCTTTAATTTAAACTTGCTCTTCTCAGTAACTATTTTTGAAAGTATTCTGGGATTGACTATAACTTATTTTACAAGAATCATACCCAGTCATCTTTTTTTCAGTAAGCTTGAAGAGGCTGTCATAATTGCAAACTGCCCAAAAAATGAGAGAAGAGACTGGATACAAGTCTGGATGACAAGGAGCACTCTAAAAAGTGTAGTTTGTTAGCTTACCTTTGCTTTTTACTTGTTCCCACTCTGTCAAAAAAACAAAATTGAAAAAAATCAAATGAAATCATATCGATTGCAACAAATCATGCCAGATAATTTATTTTGGGAAATTGATTGCTAATCATAATCATACCAATAATGTTTTTGAGAATATTTGTATTTTCTAAGATCTGTTATTAAGTACTATAAAGTCACAATACAGAAACTTCAGTGCAACATATTGCTTGCTAGCAGGCGTAGCCACCATAAACAAACAACAACCAGCAACATTGTGTACACTGTACAGAAATTTAACTCCAACACGTCAAAATCACTTTAAAGATTACTTTACTAAAAAGATGCTTGCGTGCAGTTTATTACATATTATAAAAGGCAGTTTTTTTCTTACTTTTTTCTAGATAACCGACGTACAAATCGTGCTCTGACGACGAAAATGCAGCTGGTGGTTGCTGCCCTGCGTCTCGTCTGTCYCTTCTTCCTGCTCGAGGACTGCCATTTATCCCTGGTGAACCTGGAGAGCCCGATCTTGGCGAGCTAATTTCATGAAAAAGCAATAAATGAAGGTCATGGGGTAATTTTAGCGGCTTGGCAAGCAAAGTTAACCAATTATTTGTTGCAAGATACTTGAAACAAAATGCCTACATGCAAAATCATGTATGATAACTCACCCCCAACTCTGATCACGCCGGCCAAATTCGGGTCCTCTACCAACTAATATGAAATAGAAAGCACGTTATTCATGGCGTTTTTAAAGCATCGAGAGCCTAATAGTAAATTTTCAGTGATATTTACCTCGACCCCTCCGAGAATTTGACATCGTTTTGCCCTTCGTGACTATACTARTGGGTAATCCTGCTGTGCAAGATATGTTGGGGCTCAGGTGTTTAGTTTATCTAGGGAGGGACGGGCCGTAGGCCATAATTTATCCATGTGGATGCATTTCGTGATGCATTTGTTAATRGAGATTTTATACTTTCAACTAAATGAAAGCATCACACTTTAATGATTTCATTTTCTACATTAAACACCTATATAATGCATAGTTYTTTTATTTTGTAAAATTCTAAAAGTTTCAAAGCAATTTATGCGATAAAACCATTAAMATGTGTTTTATKTTTTTGTATTTTTTTGACAAAAATTTCAATTYARYAATTTTCGTTATATTTTTCTTTGTTTCTTTTTCTCCCGCTTTATTTGACTTCCTGAAGAATCCTGGGAAGGTTTCTTCGAGACACGTGACGTCATACGCAGGGATAGTGGTCGTCGCCATTTTGGTTTTGAAGTGTTTTGGGGCAGCACATTGAGTTTTAATTTAGGTGTATACAAGGATTGGATCAAGTTTTAACAGCTACATGAATAGCACAGATGTAAAATGCCTAAAGATGATAAAAACGAGTTTCTCAAGGCACTCAACGTTGACAGTTTTGCCAGTGAAAGTATGTCATATACCTTCGTCGTAAGGGATTTGGAACGGAATTGTTGAACTAACTGCATGTACCRACAACTTCACAATGGTGTTTTACTCGATTGTATCGCTTTATATTGCTTGATTGGGCAGTGATTATAATAACACTTGGAGTCTTCTGATATTTACAAGCTTCCATTTGTTATGCTATGGATTCTAATGCGACTTTTTTGAATGTTTCTACAGATGAAATTAGGAAAGCGTACAAGAAACTAGCGCTACAATGTCATCCGGACAAGGTAYTATTCACGATCTTTCATCATTGGAAATGCCGTTTATTTGACAAAGACAACGTTAGATTTATCTTCCTACTRCTAAACTATAGGATTTATGAGGCGATGGGTCACGAAAGTGTGTCTTCTTGTTGAAAAAAAAAGCTTAATGAAAGTGRTATCGTTATTAATATTACCAAGTAGCTTTTATAACACAATTTTCTTCCCGACAGAACTTCAGCGAAACAACAGCTAAGAAACAGTTCGAAGAACTTAGTAAAGCTTTCGAAAACCTTGTATTATTAGGTGAGAAAGCTAACATGAACATCGACAAAGTTATCACAATGCCACAAATTTCAAAAAAAGTTCGATTCTTCAAACTACCAACGACACTGATTCTTTGTTCATTTTCCTCCCCACAGATGAAGCCAACAATTCGATGTATGATAGTGACCAAGTAAGAAAGCTTTGKCMTATTTAACTGAAACTAAATKTTCATAATATTTGGCAAATCATATTTCTAATTGTCCGCCATTTTCCTTTTGTCGTGAAATGTGATTATCAAAATCATATAACGATATTGTATAAATATTGTATATGTAATTGTACTAAGTTTTCTTAATTGAATCTCTTGCTGGTAGATTTTCTTCGATTTTCTTGGTGAAATTCTATTTGGTAAGYTCATAYAAAGTTAACATTATCAATTTTATGWTGTTTTTCTTGAATTGTATTCATTACATTTGTTTACATATAATTGTTGTTGTTTTTCAGACTTTTGAACTTTTTTTGATGATTTTTAAAATACAACTAGAATATTTTTGTTTATTTGATATTATTATCTACCTTTTCTATTGTGTGATTGCAAAGTTGTTATTTTTATTTTCCTTTGGCTCTTTTGTTTTAATTTGAATTGTACCTTTTCAAAGGTACATTTGTAATAGATTCCCATATATTTTTTTATGGTTAAAAAAATCATTTTAGATCATTTTCAGAAAATGACCATTAAGGCTCATAGTTGAACAATTTTTAACTAAAGTATTATCCAAATGCTTTGAAAATGTTTGAATTTCCACTCCAAATTTTTGACAATGATAATTTTTTGACTGTCTTCTATATCAAAGACATTGCACCATGAACAAGCAGACAAATGATATCAAAAGCCATTTATTATTAACAAAAGATATTTCCCCTACTGTGTAAGTCTTTAAAATCCTTCAATTTGACATTGTATAGTCACTTTTTCTGCCATATTTTGAAACCAAACATATCTTCTCAAAGTTCCCTTGACAACAGATATCAAAACAAAAGATAATATAAATTGAACTTGAGTTAAAACTCAACTTAAGAATAGAACTAGATTTTTTAAATAATCTTGTACTTATTTTTTAGAGCATTTGAATTTTGTAGCAAAAAGTGGATTTTTTTTACTCAGACTATTAAAAATTATATAATACTTTGATTTAGTCATCTTGGCAAAATACGGTTAATATAATGTATTCACTTGCAGCAATGTGAAAACCATTGTTATTGAGGTGTCTTTTTTYCAAGGATAAGTTAGATTATCCACATCCAGAAGATTGATGATTTATCAATGTATAGATTAAATTAAATGACACTATTGTATGTACAAATGACATTATTATAGTGTTTTCACTGAAAAACACTGTGTTTTTATTGTCAACAGGATCAGAAAGCAATAGTGACTTTTTCTCATTCTTCTGTGGCTCGAAACAACATTGTTGTCAACTTTCCGATGGAGATCTTGATCATAGGTAAGAAAAATACTRCACAATAACATGAATTGTTGTTTTCAGAAATAAAAATACAATTGGTGATTCTCTATACCTTTGAGATTAACATCTAAATTTTAACTGTGAAACTCTTTTCTAATTTTACACATAATAATAAAACAACTGTGAAATAGATAAGTACACCTTTGTATGATCTCATTCCATTTTTTTTTTCTTTTGTGTCTATTTGACTATCACACTGTAATAGTCGAAAATATTGTTTCGTGGGTGGACTTCATTCTAAGAATTTTAAAATCTCTATTTGTTCGACCATACGTGTATATAAATGTATCAGCACTTGATAGTGCTAAGATACCAAAAAAATAAAGAGTATGAAAAATCACTTTCTTGGTTTTAAAGAAAGTCTTACTGCAGCATGAAAAAAGTTCAGACTTACTTGAGTGAGGGCTTTTAGGAGTTAGAGTGTCGAAAGCAACGTAGTTGATGTAAATATATCTTTAATGGCATTATCTCCTACTAAAACAAAAAACTAATGTATATTATGTCAACTTAAAAATTTCAATGGTTTTACAAGCCTTGTTTTGTTTTTGTTTTTTTGTTTTTTTTTTTTTTACGGCTGTAAATAAGGCGGTTAGCTGCAAAATTGTATGAGTTTTGTGTTGGACTATCAAAAAAATGTATTCACTTATGATTTGGCAAGTGAAGTTTTATATTTCAAAAACGTTTTCTGCCAAGGAAGAGGGGCCCCTGGAACTCMCTGCACATGCCCCCTCTTACAAGACACAATAAGAACTCTTGTTTGGAACTATTAATTTTACAGATATCAAGAAGATTATGACGAAGAAGACATCGATGGTGAGAGCGAGCTTGACAGTATCATGGAAATTGTTAAGGTAGAAAAATATACCCCAAAAATGATTAATGTAGATATTATTCAGTAAAAAGAGTATTATCATCTTGATGATAGTTTTTACACGATGTATTGATGTTGTGAATTTGTACAGAATCGAAGGAAAAAAGGAAAGTCAGTTCCTGATAATTTCCATGAAGGAAAGGTAAAAATCCTGTGCAAAAAGTCACATATATTATAGCTGTATGTAATGATGATTTCAACTTTATGTATGCATATTTTAATGACGGTACAAAAAAATACACTTCCCTTGTAAGAAAATCTGTGTTTATTTGTAATTCCTCTGTTTTTCGCCAGCTACAAATTAAATTTTATTGCTGTACAATCTTTGCTAATCTAGCACAATGTTTTTTGTTCTTTATCTTAGCTTCAAGAGCTTAAAACTATGCTGGCACAGCACAAGGAGGATATGAAGAAGGACTACACTAAAAAGGTACGCTGTTCGACCTTGAATAGTATAGAACAGGCTATAGTGCAGCCATTGTTTATTTTGACCTTTTGGCTGGCTACAGTTTTCCAAATTACGGTTGTAACACTTGTTGTCCCTTACAATTTATATACGATTGATTTGATTTGAAGAACAGCCACCCGCTTACAAATTTAATGTAACCCCTGTTTTTACCCACATAACTACATTACTTTCCTCAATAAGGGACCTTTAATACAACTAAAATTTAGAAACTTATTGTTATCTGAATATTGTACAGTTGCAAGGAAAGCTCAGTGCATTGTGAACAAAGTTTGTAATACATGCAAAAGTGACTACAACTGTCACCATTTATAATTTTTCATATAAATCTTGTCTAGCTTTGATTGACAGAAATTTTTTTTTCATGTGTGTGTGTGTGCAGCAACAGACTACTAAGAAAGGGAAAACAGCAGTGCCTGTTGCAAAGGTTTGATTATTTGTTGTTGTTGTTGTTTTTTTGCTTGTTTTTTGTGTGTTTGTTGTTGTTGTTTGTTTGTTTTCTTTGTTTGTTTTTTGCTTGTTTTTTGTTTGTTGTTGTTGTTGGTTTGTTTTTGTTTTTCATTGAACCTTTTGTGTAGCTTGTTATATAGTTTGTATTAATTTTTTGGAATTTTTTGTGTCAGCCTAAACCAAAGAGCAAAAAGCAGTTGTTAGCTGAACAGCGGAGAAGAGATAAGGTAAATAAATGCTATTTTCACTTAAACTGTCAAGTCTCTATTATCCAGTGACTTGTTGTGCAAAGGATGAATAGTGCTATTAAAATTGAGGCCCAACAAATCCAGATAATCAAGGTTTCATTGGTTTTGATTGACTGCTATCAATTGATTTTCCATAT